GCGCCGCTGTCTAGCCTCCATTTTAACCGGAAGTCTCTGTGATTACTCTAACTCTTGTCTTACGTGAGATGTTCTGGTTTAAGCTAACTTGTGTTTGAGTTCGCAGGAGTGGCTTTCTAAACGGTTAAGATCACTGGGTTGTCATTCGGGAGAGTTAAGTTCGAAGCCTCGGTAAGGTGGGACATTTGTGTGTATGAGTGTCAGAGGCAAAATTAAAATCTTAACCTGTACTATCCGTGGTGATAGCACTACCCAAAGGGCCCTAAATATGCGGACTGAAAGTTCCCCCCCCCCCCCCCTCCCACCTCTCCAGTTCTTAAAAGTGTTTGAGCTTAAAATAGTCAGAATTATGACATAATGTTGTTAAACGGCATAAAACTTACAATGGAGACAGAGAGTAAACCATATGCAACAGAAGAAAGCCGGAAATGTCAAGTATTCGGATAATCATTTAATTGGACAATCAAAGCTTCTGAAGTAAACACTCTGTGGCGAGTACAAGTACTTTAGCATTGGCCTTAGGTCGGAACTCGAGTCGCTCGACTTTAGACTCGAGAGCGACTTAGAACGCATTAACGACTTGCGACTCGACTAGAGGTTTTGTCCAGCGACTGACGACTTGTTGCTTTGAGGATTTGGTACGGCTGGTTATTCGTGGCCGGCTACTGTGTGGTTCCATGTATCAAGCTTTCGCATTCGACTTCTTCCGCTTTTATATACAGTTCAATGAGTTATTTCGCACTGCTATTTGCGGTGTTGTATTTTCTCCACTTTTATTTGATCTGCATTCTGAATAATTTAGATAAATCAGTACGACTTGCAATGGACTTGATATATGAAGTGACCTGACTCGTAACTCAACTTGAGAGCATTCTTGGTGACTTAAGACTTGACTTGGTGACTTTAGACTTGACTTGGTGACTTTGACTTGACTTGGTGACTTAAGACTTGATTGGTGACTTTGACTTGACTTGGTGACTTAAGACTTGACTTGGTGGCTTTGACTTGCTTGGTGACTTAAGACTTGACTTGGTGACTTAAGTCTTGACTTAAGACTTGACTTGGTGACTTAAGACTTGACTTTGTGACTTTGACTTGGTGACTTAACTTGGTGACTTTGACTTGACTTGGTGACTTTGACTTGACTTGGTGACTTTAGACTTGACTTGGTGACTTTGACTTGACTTGGTGACTTAAGACTTGACTTGGTGACTTAAGACTTGACTTGGTGACTTTGACTTGACTTGGTGACTTTGACTTGACTTGGTGACTTAAGACTTGACTTGATGACTTAATACTTGACTTGGTGACTTCGTAGCAATGATGTGGGCCTTGATTTCGACTTAACTCTTTGAGTCCTAAGGAATGCCTCATATGTTGATAGGCTCCTATCTAGAAGTCCAAATAACGCATGTTGCGCCCATTTCAAGTCTGTCTTTACTACCACTTGGGCCTGTGATGCTTAACCCTCTGGTGCTCAAAGAGTTAAAGACTAACGAGTTAGTCCGACCTGTGGTACCGGCACCTAGTTCTGTTTTTTTAAAAGGCCCTGCTGCTACTGCTGATGTTTGCCAGTTGTCTCCTACCTTGTGATCTCTAGGAATGCTTAATTCCCCCTCCCCCCTTTTTCTCTTTTTTTATCCTTGTAATTAATCGGTGGTTATCAAAGAATTATTCTGAAACAACCAAGTCAGAATGCACTCAGTTAAGTTTTGTTTATGTATATTCGAGGGATAAACATCATGTCACACAGGTCTAACCCATGAACGCTCCGTTCTACTTCTAACTCAAGTCTGAGTTCGAAGAATCTCAGAGCAGTGCACGAAATTTGTTGCCCCAGCGAAGATCCTGAAATACTTTAGGTAAAGTGTAAACTCCCAAGTTTGCCCGCGCAGCGCCGTTAGACTTCTCTTTTCGATTTCCAACTGCCAGGGGAATTTGTACATACACAACAACAAAAAAACAATACACACGGGCATCCGATCTTAATAGCCAGAGACCAATGGGGAAACTTACTAGAAGTCGACGTGAAAAACTTCCTACGTTCACCGGGGTTTAAACCCGGGACCTCTAGCACGCGAGGCGGAAGCCATAGCTCGAGACCACTCAGGACCATCAACTTAGTATACTTCATTTATGTCCTGAAGTGACGTCACCACATTACAGTTCTATTAGACATTTGAAGAAAAAAAATTATATCCAAGACAGGGAAAAAAGTGAGAGAAAAAAAAGGGGGGGGGGGGGGGGGGAGACTGGAAGGAGATTTTATTTGTGCCCCATTGTAAAGAGGTTCTCTGTTTTAGAACTTGTGAATACATTTTACACTTTAGTAAAAACGTTTCTGTCTCCAGTGTTTAAAGGTAGTTTTTTCTGCTGAATATTAATTAGTATGTGGCTGCCTGGGGAATCTGCTAGCACCATATATCATACAGCTAGCTACATCACTCCATGACTCATCGTAACCTAACCAGAAACATCACATGAAGGAAACTTGGAGCAACAGCTCACTTAGCCTAACGCGCATGCCCAGACGCCCCACCCTGTACCTGTTTCCTGCAAGGAAACCAGAAGAATGTGCAGACGCGGCACAAGAAAACCGCCATATCAGCACGTACGGGAGCACCCAGAATCTCCTTTCCCCGGGCTTTCTGCAACCGTTATCTAATGTCTGCACACTGGGGCGGTGATATGTGGGGCAAGCTGCAGACGTTTGCAGCAGGCGCCAACGGGATGTGAGAAAATATGCGAACCGCTAAATGCTTACTGTGGCGAAGTGGTCAACCTGTTTGTTTCGCGTTCTGAAGGTCGTGGGTTCGTTTTACGGTCGCGCCGTTCAATTCACGAGTGCAAATTTATGTAGATCCCGGGGGATTATGGCCAGAGCTACAGGGGTCGTGCTCTGTGCGACGCTCTTGGCAGGCAGCTGGCTGTTCTGTGGAGAGAGACTGAGCCATATGGGATAAAACAGGGTGCAATGAAGTCGACCCTCTCCACTCTACCGTATCTGTTTACTGAGAGCTTATGTCACACATTAATGAGACACTTGTCGTCTTGCTCAAAGATTTTGTGTTTAAATCTACGGCGATGCGGATTTTTATTATCCATTTAAGCGAATGCTTAATTAGTCGCCTGTTACGACACGCTTGTTCGGAACACGGGGTCTTTCTGCACCTTTCCGCCTTCACCCATTCACCCAACGGGACCCGAAACACACACTTCATTCCTGTCTGACCTTATGCCTGTGTGTACTTGTGTGTCGTTTGTGCATCCCTGAATGGTTTGTATAGCCTCATTCTGAATGCGTTCCAATTTCTCCAACTAAGATTTTGACACGGTTACTGATATTAAGAGAAAATTATAAGAATTCGAGATAATTTGTGAGTGAGGGAGTGAGTGACTGAGTGAGTTAATGAGTGAGTGAGTGAGAGAGAGGGGGGGGGGGAGAGAGTTAGAGTTTGTGATAAAGATAGCGACTGAAATTAAGAGATACTGGGAGAGCTAAATAAAGATATGATGAGAAAGAGAGGAAGATAGAAAGAGAGTTGGAATGAGTAAGAGAGAGAATGTGAGAGAATTAAAGAAGAATAAGTAAGTTGAGACAGAGGGAGGGGCGTTAGTGAAAGAGGTTGCCCGGCCTGCTAGTGCAGTTGGTTGAACCTTACTTCGCGGCGACCGGATGACGAACTTCTTGTGGTCCGGGTTCTCGCCCGGGGGTAGGCAGAGAAGCCACATTTCTCCCAAAATTACGGTATCTTTCATAAAATCAAGGCCGAAGGGTTGCAACATCCATAGTACTGAGCCAAAGATTTACAGTCCGTGTTTTCTGGGTACTTTTAAAAAAAAAGTGCAAGAGGTTGAGAAATGTAGAGCGAGTTTGAGTGAGGGTGACAGAGAGAGAGAGAGAGAGAGAGAGAGAGAGAGAGAGAGAGAGAGAGAGAGAGAGAGAGAGAGAGAGAGAGAATGATAGAGAAGGAGATTAATAGAAAGAGGGAGAAAGGGCTTGACAGAGGTGAAGAGCGACTATGCATGTCTTGTGCTCTTGTGTGTGTGTGTGCGCGCGCGCGCGTGAGCGCACGCTAAATACTGAGACATAGTAACTAACTCTGCATGACGAAAACCGAACTAATTATTACCTGATTGTCTCTCTTGCATACTTTCAACGTCTATTGCAGTGCCGGTTGCATGCAACTCTTATGCTAATATTAATATTTACAACTATTGGTCAACTTTGAACTAAATTTTGATCAAGCTTTACATTTGCAAAGATTACATTAATCCTTAATAATTTCTTATCTCTCTCGTATTACAATTAACTTTCAATTCCACATTAATTCCATGATAATTTAGTTTTATTTCTGCGGTTATCATTTCGAGCTTGACTGTTCTGACTGGCCAAGAACTGAAGGGTGACACCGATACATACCCGGTGTAGCCTTTATCTATGTGCCCTAATTCAGCTTCTTAAGAAGTTGAACAGGGTATCTAGGATTTGTCTTGTTGGGCTTACATTCAGAATGCGTCTATTCTAATCGCAGAGATGTCGAACCTTTAGGAAGCAGCTTAGTTGAGACAAACCAGCCACTCTGCTTATATAATTTCTGCTTGCCAGGGGCGTCGACACGCAAAGACCATTGAGGGGGATTGCTCATCCTTGTTTAAATGTGCAGTTATGATGGTATTGAAAAAATACATCTTATTTTTACAATTGTGGGTTTAATAGCAAAAAAATATTATAACATATCTGAAATAACATTAAACGTATAAATGAAACATAAAAAAAAAAAGAACATCTATACATTGTTGAAGGGGGGGGGGGGAAGTTAGCGGCCCCGCCCCTGCACATTTTCTAAGGTATGACAGGTAAATACAGCTCAGCTGCCCTAAAATAAATGGGTGAAGGGCCCCTTAAGATACCTGCTTCCATGTTTCGACGCCCCTGCTGTTCGCATCTTTCTTGTAGGCTGAATGCTAACATTACTAATGGTTATTTCCACCTATAG